GGACCCCACAGTCTCCCCGAACCCGGGCTGACACTCCCCGCGGACCCCACAGTCTCCCCGAACCCAGGCTGACACTCCCCGCGGACCCCACAGTCTCCGTGGACCCCACAGTCTCCCCGAACCCGGCTGACACTCCCCGCGGACCCCACAGTCTCCCCGAACCCGGGTTGATACTCTCCGCAGACCCCACAGTCTCCCCTAACCCGGGCTGATACTCCCCGCGGACCCCAAGGTTAATACTCCAGAATGAGGTTCGTAGATTTGTTTGAGCCCACAGCTGAGAAGTGGCTGTGGCAGGTTAGGTGTGGCCCCCGGGGAAGGCTGTTTGGAGGTCAGTGGCCCCTGTCAGGGCTGTCCCTCCGTGCTGCCAGCCTGGAGACGTGTGTCTCCTGCCTGACTCTCAAGCGTCCTTGCTTTGCTCTGTGGTTTTAGCGAGTTTATGGTTGAGGAGCATGAGCTTCGGAAAGAGCGAATCCAGGAGGATTACAATGACAAGTACTGGGACCAGCGGTACACCGTCGTGCAGCCACAGATCCCATCCTTCCTGCAGAAGATGGCGGACAAAATCCTCAGCACAGGTGCGGCAAGCACGGGCAGGCGTGGGGGGTGTGGCATAACTGCCCGGAGAGTCTCCTGCAGTCCGGGCCCTTACCCGGTGGGCGCCCAGAGCCCGGGTGTCTGAGTGCGGGACGGAGGTTACATCTGGCTTGTGAGCTGGGCTGTGCGCTGCGGCGTTGAGTTGGGCCTTGAGATGGTCTCTGCTGCCAGGTTTTCATCAGGTGCCGTTTTCTCCCTGACCCTAGGAGGCTCTCTCACAAGTGCCTTCTCTGTGTTTCGTTTCTGGTTTCTAAAACTCCGTCAGCATGACGGGAAAAACTGTCAAGCAGTCACACCTGCTGGCCGGCAGTATTTCGCGCTCTGACCACACAGGTTAGGGCCTGACCCAGACTCAGGGCAGCGGTGCGGGGACTCAGCCTTGGCACGTCGGGCCGTCACGAAAGGGGTGGGAAGCGATTAGCCCTCTGGTTCTCATAACGCCTTTTTGAAATTATTTATCTGCCCTTGGTTAGAAAATTCCAGATGTGCAGAGCCACGGCAGAGCCCCAAGGCCACCACCTCGCTCTGTAGCCGCTGGCAGCAGTTTGCTGGAAAGGAGCCAGGGCATAGAGCTGGTTACATAGCCCATTCTGTTTCCAGTACGCCGCCTCCTGTTTAGACGAAGACGGCTGGGGCCTGAGATTTTGAATTTGCTTTCTTCCATCCCTTCTCAGGCAAATACCTAAACGTGGTCAGAGAGTGTGGCCACGACGTCACCTGCCCAGTGGCTAAAGAGATCATCTACACGTTAAAGGAGCGGGCGTACGTGGAGCAGATCGAGAAGGCGTTTAACTACGCCAGCAAGGTGCTGCTGGACTTCCTGATGGAGGAGAAGGAGCTGGTGGCACACCTCAGGTGGTCCTCTGTCCCAGTGTGGGCACCTGCCTCCCTCTGAAACCAGAGTCTGCGGGACGTGGGGCTGAGATGGCTAGGTTCCTTCTGGCAGCTCTGCCTTGTCGTTTTGAAAGTGGGCACTGCCAGATGGTCTCTAGCTTGAGGGCCTGGCACATGCTGTGGGCGGTGTAGGCCCCGGGTCACCTTGTCCAGGGGCCCCCGCTCCCCTCCCTGCCCAGGGCCCACCTGCCCCTTTTCAGCTCCTCCTGCCACAGCCTGCACAGTGTTTTAAGAGCCCCTGTCTGAGAGCCAAGCGCTTAGCTCGTTTTAGCGTGATGCTGTGGTGAGCACCTGTAGGCTGGGGGACGTGCTCACACCTGCTCCCTGGCACAGGTCCATCAAGCGCTACTTCCTCATGGACCAGGGGGACTTCTTTGTGCACTTCATGGACCTCACGGAGGAGGAGCTCCGGAAGCCGGTGGAGGACATCACGCCCCCCCGCCTGGAGGCGCTGCTGGAGCTGGCGCTGCGCATGAGCACGGCCAACACCGACCCCTTCAAGGATGACCTCAAGGTGGGTGGGGTGCCAGGGGCTGCCCCCTGCTGCAGGGACCTTGGAGGGGCTGGGAGGAGAGGAGAGCCTAGCCCAGCCCTGTCCCCCCTCCTCCACTCCCACGCAGTCGAGGCGACTGCAGGGTCTGTCTCCTTCACTCTCTGCTGTGGGGGCTGCTTGCCCGGGTCTCTGGGGGTCTTTGTGCCAGTGCCCAGGAGGGGCGGGTCTCAGGTTTTCTTGCTGGGATCTCTGGGCAAGGTCTCCAGGGGTCTTTGCGCCTGTGCCCACGAGGGGCGGGTCTCAGGTTTTC